TCTTTTTTTCCTGCATACCTTCCTAATTCGAAGGATTTGATCAGCTGGTCTCTCAACAAAATTGATCAACTTCTCCCGACAGGAGGCCGTGGACATGTGACGGAACCTCAACCGAGCTGATGATGAATGACACCTGTTATCTGGACAATGGCTGAGAGTGGGGCTATGGACTATGATACGACCTTCCCTTAAAATTCATAGTCTTCACCGGCCTATACGTACATGTATCATGTCTATTTATGTGCTATGCTGTGGTAGTCCAAAAAAGTGCAATATGGTCCTCTGGACATTCAAAAAAACAAAAAACAAAACAAAGCAAAAAAATGTAGAAAAGTTTCGTCTTTCATCCAAGAGACTTCCTCAGTCTGAGGTGCTGTATTCAGTTCAGTCTCTTAAATAGCACCTTCTCAGAGTGGATCAACCAGTTTGCGGCTGACAACCAAAACCAGCTGCTCACATGCTCAAGAAGGACCATCAGCCTAACAATGGATCATTAACACACTGATGGCTGTTTACTATTCACAGGGAGTTGAGTGATACTAGCAATAACAGCATTGTAAGAGGGGGACAGTTGGACCCGGAGGCCTCCCCCCCTGTTTAACGATGGACGATTTCTTTTCACAAAGATGGCCTCCTTTACTCCTCTCTCAAACCATTGTTCCTCTCTGTCCAGGATGTGAACATCTTCATCCCTGAAAGAGTGACCGATGGCCTGGAGATGAGTGTAAACCGCAGAGTCCTGGCCTGAGCTGAATACAGGACCTCAGACTGAGGAAGTCTCTCGGATGAGAGACGAAACATTTCTACATTTTTTTGCTTTGTTTTGTTTTTTTTGAATGTCCAGAGGACCAGATTGAACTTTTTTGGATTTTTCTACCTGGATTATTGAGCAGGCAGCACGGTGGCACAACTGGTAGAGCTGCTGCCTCTCAGCGAGCAGGTCCCTGGTTCAAACCCCGGTCCAGGGGCCTTCTGGGTGGAGTTTGCATGTTCTCTCCGTGCATGCGTGGGTTTTCTCCGGGTGCTCCGGTTTCCTCCCACAGACCAAAAACATGCATGTTAGGCTGATTGGTAACTCTAAATTGTCCCTAGGTGTGAGTGAGAGAGTGAATGGTTGTTTGTCTCGTTTGTCTCTATGTGGCCCTGTGATGGACTTGCGACCCGTCCAGGGTGTACCCCGCCCCTCGCACAGTGATTGCTGGACATGGGCACCAGCGACCCCCGTGAACCAAAATGGAATAAACGGGTAAAGATAATGGATGGATGGATTATTGAGCATGCATCAGGATATGCTGTGGTAGGTTTTTTGATGCCTGAAATTGTGCCGTGTCTAGGACAAGGTGTGAGAGATCTTTTTTTTAAATTCCATCTCTCCTCATGTTTTCTTCCCTTTTCTCATCTAAGCAAAAACATTATTTTGAAGAAGAATAAAAAGGCCACGCTTTTTATAGCAGCAGCTTTGTGCACTACGCCCATCTTTCGGATGACTGTACGTACATGTTCTCGTTGTATCTTGGTGCAATTAAAGCTTATTCTGATTCTGATCAGAGGTACAGCACAGGTTGAACAACTGGGAGATAAAGTTAGAGAGGCCATACTGAGATGGTTTGGACATGTCCAGAGGAGGGACAGTGGGTATATTGGCAGAAACATGGTAGAAATGTAGCTGCTAGGTAAAAGACAAAGAGGAGATATATGGATGCACATGTAGGTAGTTGGAGTGAGGACAGAAGATGCAGAGGACAGAGTGAGATGGAGGAGGATAACTCGCTGTGGAGACCCCTGAAGAGGGAAAAGCTGAAAGAAGAAGAAGTAGTTTATCATTGGTTAACAAGTTTGTTTAAGCAGTAGGTTTAAATAGAATTCAAATCACAGTTAAGAATAACTAGTGTTGTTCCACATGGTTTAACATTGGGACAAAAACATTTATATCTATAAATGTTTGGTTTGTGCCCAACTTAAAAATGTTTTTCATGCACACAGCTTGTAAAACTGTATTCTATGCACATTTTTTTCATTATCCATCTTCACCTACTTTGTACCCAACTTGGCAGCCTCCACCATGTTTATGATGTGAACATTTCTGTAAAGTGCCCTGAGACAACTTTGTTGTGAAATAATTGAATATGATGTATCCAACAATTTTCAGTCAGGACATCTGGACGGTTTTCACCTTCCATCCAGAAGGCTTCATCAGTCTGAGGAAACGTCAAACAAAACTGCTTCGCCCCCAACAACCATCCATCCATCCATTTTCTTCCGCTTACCTCCTCCCTGACCCGGAGAGGGCACTCTACCCTTTTCCGACTCAAGACCATGGCCTCGGATTTGGAGGAACTGATCTTCATCCCAGCCGCGTCGCACTCGGCTGCAAACTGCTCCAGCGAAAGCTGTAGATCACAACCTGATGAAGCCAATAGGACCACATCATCTGCAAAAAGCAGGGACGCAATCCTAAGGCCACCAAAACGGATCCCCTCAACACATTGGCTGCGCCTAGAAATTCTGTCCATAAAAGTTATGAACTCGCGTAACAGCTTACTCTAAAGTGAAAAAACAAACAGTTATGTTGGTGCTAAGATGTTCTCTGGGACCTTCTCAGACTGATGAAGCCTTATGGGTGGAAGGTGAAACGTTTCAGCACAAAAAAAGAAACTTTCCAGATGACCTGACTGAAAAATGTTGGCTTTTATACCTGGATTGAGCATGGACTTTGTTGTTTTCAACCAGTTTGACAAGACTGTCAACAAGGAAGAGGGCTGGCAATGGAGGAGGGGCGTACCAAAGAGACCATCTAATCACAAGCAGAACTGGTTTGTTCCACTTTGGAGTAAGTTGTTGGAGGAAGAATCAGTTTTGTTGTGTGTTTCCTTGACTGATGAAGCCTTCCGGACCGAAGGCGAAACATTTCAGCACAAAAAAAGAAACTGTCCAGATGATCTGACTGAAAAATGTTGGATTATGGACTCTTATTGGAGATAGCTACCTTGGCAGTGTACTGCTGCTGAAGGTCATCATGTTGTCATAGTTTCCTGGTGGGCTGGATGTAGAGATCACCTCCACCTCTGCACTGGTTCTCTTCAGATTGCTCATGGACGGCTCTCGGTAGGAAGAGCTACGGGTCAAGATGGTTACTGGTCTTTCGGGGGACAAGGTGTGAGAAGAGGATCGTGTCATGATAGGCTTTGCTGGGCTGGGAGCCAAGGTGTGAATGCCTATCAGAAAAGACCCAAAGGGAGACAAATGCTTACTGTGTGGTTACATGTGAGGTGATTTGAATGTCTATGAAATCTGATGAAATTCCAAAATTCGCAAGATTGATTATGTACTTTTGTTTAACATTTGGTACAGTCACTTCCAGGCTAATACATATCTGGGTGTAGGAGATCATGCAGCAAAGGTCTACAGGTCCAAATGCTGCCTAAGTTCATCACTGCATCAAATGGAATCATTTTATTAATTTATTTATTTTAAAGTTCCCCCTAAAACCAGCTTCCAAGACTGTAGTTGAGAACATCTTACAATTAGCCAAAAAAGTTCAATATGGTCCTCTGGACATTCAAAAAACAAAAAACAAAACAAAGCAAAAAAATATAGAAACGTTTTGTCTCTCATCCAAGAGACTTCCTCAGTCTGAGGTGCTGTTTTCAGCTCAGTCTCTTAAATAGCACCTACTCAGAGTGGATCAACCAGTTTGCTGCTGACAACCAAAACCAGCTGATCACATGCTCAAGAAGGACCATCAGCCTAACAATGGATCATTAGCACACTGATGGCTGTTTACTATTCACAGAGGACTGAGTGATACTAGCAATCACAGCATTGTAAGAGGGGGACAGTTGAACCCGGAGGTCTCCACCCCTGTTTAATGATGGACAATTTCTTTTCTCAAAGATGGCCTCCTTTCCTGATCATGGAGACTGATGAAACAATGGTCTCTTTTGATGTCACATCACTCTTTACATGCATTCCTGTTGATGATGCAGTAGAGGTGGTCAGTTTAAAATTAAAATCAGACACCACTCTGAGCAGCAGGACCACACTTTCCACAGAACAACTGTGTCAACTCTTGAAACTGTGCCTGTAGTCAACCTACTTCACATATGGGGAGCAATATTATAGGCAGAAACATGGGTGTGCTATGGGGTCTCCAGTTTCTCCTATTGTTGCCAACCTGTACATGGAGGAGGTAGAAAAGAGAGCCTTGACATCTTTTTCAGGGACACCACCAAGTCATTGGTTCAGGTATGTTGACGACACCTGGGTTAAAATTAAATCTCAGGAAGTCCAACATTTTACTGACCACATCAACTCTGTGGATAAATACATCAAGTTCACACGAGAAGATGTAAAAAATGGCAAGTTGGCTTTCTTGGACTGTGAGGTCTCAGTCTCTGATAGAGGACATTTGCAAACTGAGGTGTACCGCAAACCCACCCACACAGACCAGTATTTGCAGTTTGACTCCCATCACCCTTTGGAGCACAAGTTAGGAGTCATCAGGACTCTGTATCACAGAGCAGACAGCGTCCCCACTAACTCAGGAGCCAGGCAGAAGGAGAAATCCTACACAAAACAGGCTCTAGAGCAATGTGGATATCCTAACTGGGCCTTCCTGAAAGCAGAGAAGAAACCCAAACAGGACTCCAGTCAGCCATCAGGTGAAAAGGAGGAACCCAGACTCAGACCAGTGGTCATTCCATATGTTGAGGGAGTATCAGAGAAACTGAGACGTTTATTTTCTAAACATAACGTCCCAGTGGCTTTTAAACCCCAAAATACATTACAGCAAAGACTGGTTCATCCCAAAGATCCAGTCCCCCGGCACAAACAGAGTAATGTTGTGTATGCTGTTCAGTGTCAGGAGGGCTGTGATCAGTCTTACATCGGGGAAACTAAACAGCCACTGGCCAAAAGGATGGCCCAGCACAGAAGATCAACATCATCAGGCCAGGATTCTGCGGTCTACACTCATCTCCAGACCAGCGGTCACTCTTTCAGGGATGAAGATGTTCACATCCTGGACAGAGAGGAACGATGGTTTGAGAGAGGAGTAAAGGAAGCCATCTTTGTGAAAAGAAACCGTCCATCGTTAAACAGGGGTGGAGGCCTCCGGGTTCAACTGTCCCCCTCTTACAATGCTGTGATTGCTAGTATCACTCAGCCCTCTGTGAATAGTAAACAGCCATCAGTGTGCTAATGATCCATTGTTAGGCTGATGGTCCTTCTTGAGCATGTGATCAGCTGGTTTTGGTTGTCAGCAGCAAACTGGTTGATCCACTCTGAGAAGGTGCTATTTAAGAGACTGAGCTGAATACAGCACCTCAGACTGAGGAAGTCTCTCGGATGAGAGACAAAACGTTTCTATATTTTTTTGCTTTGTTTTTTTGTTTTTTGAATGTCCAGAGGACCAGATTGAACTTTTTTGGATTTTTCTACCTGGATTATTGAGCATGCATCAGGATATCTTACAATTAGGTAAAGATCTCAAGGAAGAAGAGGTTTCCATTCTATACAGAAAAAATAGAATAAATGGTAAATGGACTGTACTTACTGTATATAACACCTTTCTATCTTATCAAGATACTCAAAGTTCTTTACAACACAATATGTGTCCCATTCATACAGCACTCTAATATATCTGTACAAATAATCAGAGCTTTTTCACATTCATTCACCAATGGGACACACATCAGAGGCAATGAGGGGTTCAGTGTCTTGCTCAGGGACACTTCAACATGTAACTGCCAGTGGAATCGAACCCCCAACTCTTGCATTGGAGGACGACTGCTCTGACCACTTAGCCACAGCTGCACCGAATACCATATGTAGAGTTGATAAATACAGTTTAATAATATTTATTTAAATCTATTATTATAAGTATAGATAGCTCAGGATGGTGAAGTTTGTCAGAGATGCTGCAGCGTTTTACCTTGATGGCTGTTACTGACTGCTGATTGACTGACATTAGGGAGGGAGGAGAGGGGTGGCTCTCTCAGAATGAGAGGAAGTGGTCGACTTTTGCAGAGATCTTCACTTGGCTGGAAATTACCAACAGCATACACACCCTGCATATACATGTAGAGAAACACAGAGTGAGGCAGGAACAACCACTAAAGCATTGTGTTAAACATCTGATTATAAGATTTTAATCTATATCAAATCCATGGAATGTTATGAACTAATTTCTGTTTGTAAGGCAAAATTTAGACTTGGAGGAATAGACTTGGAGGACTTGGAGACTAGACTTGGAGGAATACACATCCTCAGTCCTGTGTTACACTGTGCTGATGACATCAACACCTTCAGGAATGTAAAGAGCTATCTGAACCAAAAGACAATGATGCTAAAATATTTGCAGTTTTCTTTGCCAAACGACTGAAATTAGGTTTAAATGATATTATTGGTGAAGAGCAATCTGGATTTATGCCTGGAAAAAATTAGTAGCAATATTTGTCTAGTATTGGACATTATTGACTACAATTAATTTATACTTGACAACAACTTTATTCTGTTTATTGACTTCTATAAAGCTGTTAGGAAGCTGGTGGTTAGCCCCAGCAGTAAATGGGAAGAAGGTGGGGTACGCTTAAACAACCATTCTCAACAATTCTCAAGGTGTCTCAACCACACCCTATGACAAGTTAGAATAAGTTCAACATGGATATTACTAATTTGTTGGAGAAAACTAGTGTACCAAGACAAAACCTGCTCCTGCACAAGGAGAATGTGCAAATTCCACACTAACTCAAGAGTTTTGGATTAGACAGCATTCCCATTCCCACAAACTGGGGACGGGTGACAGGGCGGGCCCCAGAAACCATTTTATCACCAGCAAACTGATTGATCCACTATGTGAGTGTGCTGCTTGTGGGACTGTTTGTTTGTGGCTCCTCAGACTGATGAAGTCCTTTGGATGAAGGATGAAACGTCTCAACAACAAAAAAAGAAATGATCCAGATGACCTGACCGAACTTTGTTGGATGTTTCACCTGGATTATTGAGCATGAATTTGGATGTTTTGAACCACTTTGGCCATGGCTGCCTCAGAGGAGTCGACAAGAGAGGGAGCGGGCCCCAAAAAACATTTTATCACTAGAAAGTTGGTTGGTCCACTATGTGAGTGTGCTGGTTGTGGGACTGAGTTTGTATGTGGTTCCTCGAACTGATGAAGTCCTTTGGGCGAAGGATGAAACGTCTCAATGACAACAACAAAAAAAGAAATGATCCAGATGACCTAACTGAACTTTGTTGTATTTTTCACCTGGATAATTGACCATGAACTTTGATCTTTTGAAACACTTTGGCTATGGCTGCCTTAGAGGAGTCGACGGAGTAGAGGGTGGGCCCCAGAAAACATTTTATCACCAGCAAACTGGTTGGTCCACTATGTGAGTGTGCTGCCTATGGGACTGAGATTGTTTGTGGCTCCTCAGACTGATGAAGTAAATGGTAAATGGACTGTACTTATATAGCACCTTTCTATCTTATTTCAAGATACTCAAAGCACTTTCCACTACAATCTGTGCCTCATTTACCCATTCATACAGCACTCTACTAGATCTCTACAAAGCTAATTGAACAAATCATTCTAAAGAGAATAATCAGAGCTTTATCACATTCATACACCGATGGGACACACATCAAAGGCTATGAGGGGTTCAGTGTCTTGCCCAGGGACACTTCAGCATGTGACTGCTGGTGGATTCGAACCCCCAACTCTCGCATTGGAGGACGATGCTCTAACCACTCAGCCACAGCCTTTGCATGATGGACAAAATGTCTCAGAAAAAAAAAAAAGAAACTGTCCAGATGACCTGACTGAATTTTGATGGATTTTTATCTGAATTATTGAGCATGAACTTTGATGAAATTCAACACTAGAAGGTTTTACTGTAGTTGAGAAACTAGCATCTACAGCAAGTAATCTGTCATTGTTGTTACATATATCATACACAGGGTTGATGTTAAAGCTAAAGGTAGTTCCATGACATCATCATTTTATAAAAGTTGTCTTTTAACTGTTCACACCAAAAAAACAAGAATGGTGTTTCAGGATTTTCTCACTATGTAACCTATTTTATAAAAATGTGTAAGGGTTCCAAAAAAGGTTGAGACAATGAAAAAAACGTGTATTCATAAAATGCCATTTCCTTGTGGACGAGGCCTAAGGCTTCCAGGATCTAGCTGTCAGGCTGCATGGCTCTCTGCTGCTTTAACCACTCATCAGTCTACATCTCACTACTCATGATGATAGGCACAGCACCAACACACACCTACACACATATGAATATTCAAAATTCCCAACTGCAAAGCCCATAATATTTGAAAGCAGCAGACTGTTACCAGGTAAACTGCGATGGCAGCTCCCAGGAACCACCCACAGTAGACATCCACAGTGTGGTTTCTGAATTGAATGATCCTCGTTAATCCAGCCAGGATGGCCAACATGACGAAAGAAAACACCAGCAGAGGCTTCAGAAGCTTGGCTGAGTCTGTCAGCACTGTGTTAAAGTACATCTAAAACACACACACACAAACACACAATTTTACACAAAGTGGTCATTAGTTTGGAATATCTTTCTGAATATAATGCTAAAAGCAAATTTTCAGTGAAAGTTACTGTAAGTATTTTTCAAAATATATGTAAAGGTAGCAAATACTCACTGAGACATAAACAGCAGCAAAGGCAGCAAGTGTGGCGTGCTGGGATGGGAAAGACTTCCTACAAAACAGAAAGGAGGAAAGGCTGAGTGTTCTCTTTACTAATTATCATGCTCAGACAGTTGAGAGCAATGCTGAATATTAATTTGTGACACATATGACTTTCAAAGAAACTTAAGAGGTGTTTTTGTTCATGTATTTAGTGGGAGCCCTAACAGGTGTTCGGTAAATGCAGGTTATGAAAGAATGACAAGAAAGGTGACATCTCCTTTCCTAGACATATGGTCTCCCACATTTAGAGTACAGGTCAAGTTTAATACATACTGCTGAAAATACCTTACATGATATGCAGTCATTATCACTTCTTAAACTGATTTCAGAGCAGACATCTATTAGAAAAAACAGGACTATTATACTAAAATACTTTATTTAACTCACAGGGAAAAATCAACAGCTTCCTACTAGTACGATATTAACAGTCTTATTAAGGGGTGCACTCTATTCCTGTACCTGGTTACACATAAAGCACGTCCAAAAACAAAACTTCCATCATTATCAGTGCCAATTTTATTTATAGCTCATTTAAAACAAGTCAGAGTGATCAAAGTGCTTTACAGACAAAGCAGAAAACAGTACAACAACAAAAAAATATATAAAACTAAATAAAAGCAAAACTACAAGAACATTAAAAGATAAAAATGAGCAAAATCATATAGTTAAGTTTACTGTGGTTTGCCAGGTCAGTAGCTGGCACTGTGAATATTTGTATTTCTGCAAGATGCGCATGCACACAAATGCTTCAGTATTGAGCATGAAAACATGCACATACAAAATGGGGACCAACCACTGTCCCAAGAGACGGTATAGCACATATATGTTCCATGTCAGAAGTTCGGATAAATTGAAAAAAAAAAAAAAAGAGAGAAGCACAGACAACATTTTGTTATCCCTCATTGTTACTGTTGTTTACCTACTCGCGCAAGAATCAAAAAAACAATTAACTGTAGCCATTTGCATTGTGCATGTGCAATTCCACACCAATGCCAGATGTTTCAATATTCACTCTGAAACCTGAATTCCCAACGTACATTTGTGCCTCAAAGCGGCTGCCTTGAGCTGTGGCTGCAAGGTTGTAGGTGAGATTCTTCATCAGCTCTAAGAAGATTCTAGCAAACCATCAAGTGGTTGAAGCGGGGAAAGCAGCACTTTACTAACAATGTGTATAGTGGAGGTGGAGTGCTGTTGATCTCAAACAGTGATGTCGTCGGGAGGGGAAAGAAACCTTTCTGGCAGTGGCACTGGCTTCGTAGACTGGGGTGGTGGTTCCGCTCTTCAAAAACAGAGACCGGTGGGTGTGTTCCAATTATAGGGATATCAACCTCCTTAGCCTCCACAATAAGGTGCTAAAGAAAGGGGTGCAATTGATGATTGAACCTCGGATATAGGAGGAACAATGCAATTTCCATCTTGCCTGTACCTTCACTAGGGTTCTTGAGTTGGGAATCAGAGTTTGCCCATCCAGTCTACGTGTGTTTTGTGGTCTTGAACAAGACATTCAACTATGCTTAATGAGTATAGAATTGGGGGTCAGTTTCTACAGACCACTTTAATCCCTATATAAGCGTTGCAAGAGTTGGGTTTGCAATGCCAGCAGTAAATCGAACCACTTTAGGGTAGGTGTTGGGACTCCGCCAGGGCTGCTCGTTGTCATCTATTCTATTTACAACTTTTATGGATATAATTTTTGGGTGCAGCCAGGGGGCAGAGGGATTTCTGTTTAATGGCCTGTCTCTGTAATTTGCAGATGATGTGGTCCTGTTGGCATTATCATGCCATAATCTCTGGCTCTCACTGGAGTGGTTCGCAGCTGTGTGAAGTGACTGTTATGAGGATCAATACCTCCAAATCTGAGGACATTATCCTTAGTTTGACAAAGGAGGACGACCCTCTCTGGGTTGGGAGTTAGTTGCTGCCTCAAATGGAGGAGTTCAAGTTAAAGTTTGTTGCCAAAAAGCTCCTTGGGGCAAAACACCAGTATTGGACAAAATTGTCTCAGATATGTTGAAAGCTCTGGAAGTTATGGGTATTTAATGATTGACACATCACTTCATTGTGGCATGGAGAACCAGAACAACACCTTCAGAGTCACAAACTGGTAAAGTGGCTCCAGTTTTTGAAAAGAGGGGCCAGAGAGTCTATTCCAACTACTGAGGGATCACACATACCAACCTTAAACCAAGGTGTTGGAAGGGAGACTTCAACCATCTGTCAAACCTCTGATGCAGGAAGAGCAGAGAATCTTTTGTCCTGGTTGTGATACAGTGGATCAGATCTTTACCCTGGCAGAATTGTTGAGGACATGGGCATGTAATTTGTGGGTCTGGAGAAGGATTACCAACATCTTCCACAAGGCATTGTGTGCGGGGTTCTACAGGAGTCTGAGGTACCAGGGTCACTTTTAAGGGCTATCCAGTCCATGTATAATCAAAGCTAGATGTTTGCCAGCTAAATCCTAGAGTGAGTTGGACTGTCTTTTGTCTTTAGTCTTGGTTAAAGTCATGAACAGGATATCAACACATAATTGTGAGGAGGAGGGTGTCAGGTTTGGATTCTTGGGGCTATAATATTCATTAGGTACTGGAGTGATTCACAGCCAAGTGTGAAGATGGTGGAATGAGAGTCAGCTCCTTTAAGTTTGAAGTCATGGTTCTAAACTGGAAAAAAGATGGAAAACATTCTCTGGACTGAGAGTGAATCTTTGCATCAAGTGGAGGAGTATAAGTATCTCAGAATATTCTGTTCAAGAATAATTGCAGGATGGAGCTGGAGATTGGTCGAGGAATAGGGACCTTGTCTTTGGTAATTACAGCACTCAGGAGCTCAAAGTGGCGCTGCTGCTCCTCCTCACTGAATTAAGTCAGTTGAAGTGGTTTGGACATTTCACCACCTGGTTTTCTACCTCCCAGAGGTTTCCCAGGCATGTCCCTGTGCCACACACCAAACAAAGCAGTTAGGAGCAATATTCTCCCAGTTAAACTCAGTTCATTGACCACTCAATCAATGGTTACTAGCTGCACTCATTCACTAATCAACCCTTCCTTTAAGATATACACATCTGGTTTTTCTGTCATATGCAACACCACTAGTAAATCCTGTCTTTTATCACATGTAACAACTCTTTTCAGTCCTGTTCTTTTGTCACTCTGGTTTTTATTTACTGTTAACAATTTTGTATTTAAATGTGCCTTCTTGTCACAACCTGCTTTCATCCTTGGGCCCTCAACCAATGAGCCACATTCATTGCAAAGAATTTAAAAGGTGACCTACATTCTATCTAAAAGCCAAGTAGTAAAAATCATCAGCAGTATAAACTATCTCTGGGATGGTCAACGCATAGCTCAATTCAGTCCTGAATCTTTGTCTGCACAGATCCCATCATCCGAAAACTGATTCCACTCAGGCAGGGAAGGGTCTAGGGTCTAGTTTATTGCCCTAAAACCCAGAGGGACTCCATATAAGAGAGGAGCAGAGAAAGACACATGATCATCAACCCTGATGCAGATAATTTGTTCAGCCAAGTAAGGCCTGAACCACCCTAGTGATGTGACACTGATACCCACCTTGTCTTCAAGCTGTAAAGTAAAATGTCATGATTCACTGTGTCAAATGCAGCAGTTAAATCTAAAAGCAAAATAACAGTCACCAGATTCAATGGCTAAAAATACATTATAATTATACAAAAAAAAGTGTTCATCACAAGAACAGTCATGAACTGTTCCTGTGCACTGTGACAAAAAGATTACACCCAGTGTGCATCTTTGTAACAATAACAGATTCAACCCACACAAATAATTTCAGTGCACGCATGAGCATCCTCTGGCAGACTGATACCCACCCACCCACACTCACACAATGGAGGAAAGGCTCACCTCCCAGCAGTGATCAACCCTAAGTCCTGTCCAGAACAGATGTCCTCCAGAATAAAAGCTTCATCACAGCTGGACATGTTGATGTGGGTCAGGTTGGGTTTGCAAACTTCCAGCCAGTAAGGAGTGTGTTGACCGGTGGACAGCTGAAGAATGTCGGTTATGAGTGCTGTCACACACAACCCAAAAATATGGATACCTGTGAAAAATAACATTTTAACAGCATATATTGGAGTAAATAATCTGAAACTAAAAGGAGATTGTGCTGTCAAAAAAAAAAAAAAACTGTTTTCCATTTCATTTTTAACCCCAAGCTGCTTGTCCTTTGTGACTGCAGTTGTGTGTTGAATGTTTGTGATAGACTGTAACAACATGGCATTTGTCCTCCCACCTATGAAGCGTACAGCTCTGCGAATGTAGGAGTTGAAAGTACATCCAGCAGCATGAATGTTGGCCTCAGTCTGTGTTGATGATGACCTCCTAGATAGGTAGCAGTACAGGATGGCCTCTCCTATCAAGATCTACACGCAAAAAGACAATAAAAATTAAGAAATGTAATGCTCATAAAGCTGATTTCTATGCCACCTGACAATAAAACTTCAGTGACATACGTTGTTAACTAAAGAATGACTAAGTAGTACAGCATTTCCTAATCTATTTTTATTAATTGATAGTTTTAGCTGCTAATTTAAGGAGATGGGATATCTGTGCTTGGAGAGTGTTGGAGAAAAATATTCTAACTTTATCTTACTAACTCAAAAGGAGCCACACTCGACAGCAGGAGAAGATTTTTAACTGGTATTTTACTTGCAAGGACAGATTTTCAGGACAGGTTACACAGATATATATACAGTAATGTTGTATGTCAGGACAGCTTTGCTGGACTATGCTACGACTTTCCCTTAAAAATTCAATGTCTTCACCGGCCTATATGTACATGTATAACGTCTGTTTATGTTGCTTTGCTGTGGTAAGGTTTTTTGATGCCTCAAATCGTGCCCTGTCTAGGACACGGTGTGAGAGATCTTTTTTTATACCGTCTCTCCTCATGTTTTCTTTCATTTTCTCATCTAAGCAAAATATTATTCTGAATATCCAAAAAAGTTCAATCTGGTCCTCTGGACATTAAAAAAAAAAAAAAAAAAAAAAAAAAACAAAGCAAAGAAATATAGAAATGTTTCGTCTCTCATCCGAGAGACTTCTTCAGTCTGAGGTGCTGTTTTCAGCTCAGTCTCTTAAATAGCACCTTCTCAGAGTGGATCAACCAGTTTTGCTGCTGACAACCAAAACCAGCTGATCACATGCTCAAGAAGGACCATCAGCCTAACAATGGATCATTAGCACACTGATGGCTGTTTACTACTCACAGAGGGCTGAGTGATACTAGTAATCACAGCATTGTAAGAGGGGGACAGTTGAACCCGGAGGCCTCCACCCCTGTTTAATGATGGACGATTTCTTTTCACAAAG